CCCCCCCCCCCCGAGCTGGTTTTCGCACTGGAGACGGGATGGAAGCAGACATTTGATACTCTCTGAGAAAAGGTTATGACTCTACCCTGGTTTGCGACATGGGTGGGGTGCTTTGGGGCAGGAGGGGAGGCTCTTGAACTTTAGGGGGTGATCCAGGAGAAATGGGGAGCTCAGTTTGAAGCGGAAGGGGAGTGGGGCCTCTTCCTGGTTTTGTTTTAAAAGTGATGCTGCCGTTTCTGAAGACCACTTTTATTTTTCAAAGCCATGCGCTGGTGTGTTTGGTGTTTTTCTGGATTCTGTTGTATTGAGGGGGACTGAGATGCAGCTTCAGATGTGGGCAGAAGGAGCCCTGAATGAATCGGAAGGCTCTCCCGGTGTGACCAGGCATGCAGGCCCTTCCCAACCCAGGGCCTTCCGGGGGGGGGGCAGGGCTATAACTCCCCTCAGCCCCCCGGCAGTACTGTATGTTGGGCTCGGTGTGACTTACGTCCAAAGCTGTTGTTGACCAGGTAGATGGGTTTTGTGCTGCACAGCAAGGTAGCGAGGCTCCCCAGCGATCCGGAACCCACCAGTTGCACCTCAGAGGTGATCCCCAGGGTGGCGTTTCTCTGCAAGGGGATCGGGAGGCACTTGGATCAGTAAAAGGAGCTGAGGTTTGCTCTTACAGTGTCTGACTTGAGAGGCTCTCTCCCCTGAGCTTGCAAGGGATGGCTTTGGCAACAAGGGGCACCACAGGCCTGTCTGCGAGTCTTTTTTTCGCTGAGGTTTGCTCTTACAGTGTCTGACTTCAGAGGCTCTCTCCCCTGAGCTTGTAAGGGATGGCTTTGGCAACAAGGGCGCCACAGGCCTGTCTGCGAGTCTTTTTTTCTCTTAGCATTTTTGGGTGGCTGATGCTGTCAGCTGAGCGGGTAGTACATCCATCCGCCCATCTATCTGTCAATCTATTAGCATGCAGTCCCGTTACGTAATGCAACAGGGCTATAAGACGTGGCGTTGCTTATACTTTTAAGGCAAGTGAAATTTTGAAAGACGCTTCGGGTCTCCTGCCTTTGGCCTTGCGGCTGCTACTAAAGTGGAATTGGAATCACAGCCTGGAAAAACGTAGCTGCCACAACATCAGCCAGCCTAGGACAGCACGGCTGGAGAAGCGGGGAGGGGGGGAAGGGAAGGCGGCAGTGTGGCTGTCTGCCGGCCGTACAAGAATCCTCTCCACCAAGGGGGAGAGAGAGAAGGGGCTCCCGAGGAAGGGGTGCGCTGGGGCGAGGAGATCTCAGGGGCTGCCTTACCAAGACAGCATGAAAGTAAGCCTCCAGTTCCTGGCATGAAGGGAGCGGTTCAGAGGCCTCCATCTTGAGGGCCACACAGCCTTCTGGTTGCCCGTGATAGACCATCAGGTGCTGCAGGAAGGAAGAAGCGGAGGAAGGACTGGATGAAGGGGATCCCCGACCCACACAGGTCACAGGATTAGTTTCCGTTTTTGTCCTCATACCAACAACCCAGGACTGAATCTGGAGTGTGGAGGCAGTTCTCTTTCCTGGATTACAATGACTCCAAGAACCCCCAGCAGCCATTCTAGCTGGGGATTCTGGGAGCTGTACTCAAAAAAAGCTCTGATCTTCACACCCTATTTGCCTCCTTCCCCTGCTTTCCCAACACCCTGTTTGTGGCAGTTTTCATGTTGTTTTGGGGGTAGGAAACGGATAAACAGTAATTCCACTGGGGTGAAAATGCAACAACTAAGCAGTGCTCTCCAGTGGCTGTTCCAAGTACTAATTCCACTGGGGTGAAAATGCAACAACTAAGCAGTGGCTGTTCCAAGTACCTCTAACCGCTTTCCGAGTCATACTTTTGTCTGGGGGCAAGTTTCTTCTTTTAGTGCATTATTTTGCGTTCGTTTCATTTAGACTTCCACTAGAAATCAGACAAGCTCAGCCCTCTTGCTAATCAGATTGTCTGCCTGATCACCGACAAATCAAATTAGCTTTCAGTCAGATTGCAAGGACTCAAAAGAGGGCTGAGCTCCTTCTTTCCCCCCCCCCAAAAAAAACCCCACTGTTCCCCAGTATGGCTTTCCAGGTGATCTCACCAGCTGCCATTTTTTCCAAAAACAGCCTCTGGCTTTGAATGTGTCCTATTGCCTTGATCAGGCGGAGCCCTGAAAATAATTAGGGGCCATGAGCTCTCCCACTTCAGTGGCATTCAATTAATTCTGCCATCTGGAAAGTTTCTCATACAATTAAAGACAGGTTGTGACCTTTTGGAAGAAGTGGTTTCAGCTGGTCCCTACCCAAAAAGTTTTATCTCCCAACCCCTTGCAGCTTTCCTTCCCAGACCATCTCGGAAAGGACGTCACTCACGTTTTTCAAGTCGCAGGTGATCCCCGGTGCCACGCCCTGCTCCCCGAGTTCGCTGAGAGCCAGCAAAAGCGACGCTTCATTCTGGACATTGACTTGAGGAGGCAGGAAGCCAAAGGGGTCCCTCTTGAGCACAGAAGACAGACGGGAAAGGGGGAAAAAAAGAGGACAGCTGAAATTGGGTTATTGCTACGGAAGATGCTCCGTTGAGCTACTCTACACTTCTGTAGAGGAAGGAAGAATCGTGGGGGCCAAGGGAGGCAAGAGGATTCTCTGAGCTCCTCCTTTTCCAAACACCCCTCCAGTTGCTGAGCACTTGCCTTCTGTTAAACCAGACGGACTCCTTTCACAAACAGCACCCAGAGCAGGAAACAGGGTGTTTCTTTTATTATTCAAAACTGGAAGACACCTGGAGGACCCTGATTTGAGGTGAGGGGTTTAACCTGACATTTACAGGAACTCTCTTGAGGCATCACATCTCTGCCCCCCAAATCCATTCATCCTGTCCCTTTTGTGACCCACAAGAAGCACCAGCCAGGAATCTGGATCAGCCAAACCAAAGGACTGGAAGGCACTGCTCCCCGTTGCACATTTCTGCCTCCTGGCTTGGCTGCTGCCTCGTCTACCTGGGTGCAGGCTGCCCGTCCGAGGTACGTTGCCAGGAGGACCCCCACGATGCTGATGGTGAGCACGGACGCCGCTCCCACGGTCAGGATCACCAGCTTGCGGTTGGAAATTTTCAGTGGCTCGGATCCTTCAAGGCTGGGATGGAGGGTCTAGGTTGGGATTCAGAGAGGAAGCAAAAAATAAGTCCTGCATCAGATCTGGGGAAACTGCCACCTTTTCTTTGGGAAGGCGTTACCACTCTTGGAGGCGAGGAGATCTTTGGAGAAAAGAAGCAGAAAAGGCTGGAAGGAGCTGCCCGGACATGAGATCTTTCAGGAAGGCCTTAAGGGAGCGGGAGACCTGAGAGAGGGACAGCGTGCCCAGGATGACCCAGTCAGTACAAGGATGAGGGCAGCTTGCTCCTGGTGGAACTTCTGCTTTGCACAAAACTGCTGAAGACACAAATCTGAACAGGAAAAGAAACCGTCTCCACAGTAATCCTGCCCCCCCCTTTTATATTAACTACTTACATAGGGGGGGCTTTTGAGCTGCATCCCCACCGGCCACGAGTCCGGGCTCTTCTCCTCGCTGGCCATTTTCTGTGGAAGGGCCAGAGGTGGGCTGAAATGGATCTAATGTGAGAGTGGGAGAGAGCTAACTTTTATAAAGTCTCACCCACCGGGCCAAGAGCCAAGACAAACAATGCCCCTCTGTGAATTTCCCAGGCCTGCCTCTTTGGTTCAGTATCCTAATCATCCACGTGGGAAAGGCAGCTGGGTCCTCCCTCCTGTGCTACCATCTCAAAATAGCTAATATGCAGCAGGTATAACAGTCTTGCCAAGGGGCCAATTCTATTTTCTCATCCGTCTTCCCCCTAACCACCAGGTAATACTCTGAATGGAGCTTCAACTGGCTGCAGTTCCTTTGGAGTGTCCTTGCAGTGGAGTGTCTCCACCTTTTCTGACATGGAGATTGCCATGGTTTGGGTGCCTCTGCTCCTTGACAAAGCAAAAGCCCCTGTGGTTCAAAAGGCAACGGAGAATTCTCTGAGTGTGTGGCTTTCCTTGGTCTACAGAAATGAAGAGAAGCAACCGACTCTATATCCCAGGAGGAGAAACCTACTACTCACCACATGGCTCGGCCTGAACCTTCCAGCCTCTAGCTTTTGCCCCCTTGGGACTTTAGTCAAACTGCAGAGCCTGCCGCTTCGAGAACTGCTATGTGCCATCAGGTCCTTTCCCACATACGATCTTGTGGTGAATTTCTGGCCTCCAAAATGTCCTATTATTAACATCGAAGGATTTTTTTTTTTGGGGGGGGAGCTGTTCTCCAGCTCTCAAAAGTTGCCTCTTTGTGATATTTTAGTATGCCAGTCAAAATACTGCTCGCGCTGGTTTTTGGTTTCCGCTTCCCCTTGTAGACCCCGGAACAAGAAGTACCACGTTGTTAAAAAGCCAGCAGAAGCAACATCCACATGGCCACGGCTGCCATCGGGCAAGCGAGGAGGGGGTGAAGGGTTTTTCCCCCCAGCCCCTTTGTGCCTGCCTGAATCTTCTTTTGCCCTCTCCTTCTGCAGTTAAAAGCTCAGGTTGTCTTCCAGAAGCCAAGTGAGCAACCTCCTATTTGGGCCTCTTCCGACCCATGTGCAGGGATGTGCCTCTCTGTGCTTTCAGGACTCCAGAAAGTGAGCAGAAGACAGAAGGGAAAGCTTAGCTGGCCAGACAAAGTTTCTTCTTGGTTTTTGGCCGACTCGCTCAGGTTCCAGCATTTGAGATCCTGGGAAGAAACAGGCCTTTTGAATGAAAGCACGCGGCACCTCCAATCATCTCCCTTTTGTCAATGCACAGAGTAGGGTCTGTGTTCCCGGAGAAACCGCCGCGTCATGATCTGCTCGGACCACGTCCAGACGAAGGGCCTCGTATTCAGCAGGGGAAGAAAAAGGCCCCAGCTTCGAAGAAGGGAGCACAAAAGGAACACTGTTCTCAAGATGCTGCGCTAGACCCAGAGCTGCCATTTGAGGCAGGGAAGGAGCACTGAACCAGGGGAGATAAAAATCCAACTTGGCTTGGCTGGGCAGGTAGTGCAACAAAGAACAAGGCCGGCCGGCCGGCCGGGTGAGCTGAAGGAGAAGAAACAGGGCATGTTGACACCGGCCGCTTGTCTGAACCTGCTGGGAGCCATCTTGAAAGCCCAACCAAGGGCAACATCGTACGGCATGGGCCAAAGCTCAGGGTCCCTAACGAATCCTCAGAGCCACTTTTTCTTTCTAGATATTACTGCCTTTTGGTCGTCTTCTCCAGGTGTATTTATGAGCAGAGGCCTCTGGTTTCCTTACCGCTTGGGAGATGGTGGCCAATAGTCAGCTGTGACTGTACCAAGGAGGAAGATGGAAGAAGAGGGGGTTCCTTTGTCTCTTTGACTTTCTTTCAGAGCCGTCTGCGTGCCCAACAAAATGTGGTCGACAGCTGGTGAAAGCTGTCTGGGCGTTGGGCGTTGCAAAGCCGGACACGTCGCCCTTTTCACCTCTCCTAGCGGCCGCCAAGGTGACTGGGAAACCCAAGAACTCTGGATGAACCAGGTCCGAAGAGGAATGCAGGATAGCCGTGTGCTTTTTGGAAACATGACCCTCCTGTTCTGGTACATCTGCTACAAAGAGAAGACTGGGTACATTACAACGGCAACAGTGGCTTATTCTTTGCATGGCTCCTGTGGCCATTTTTTTACTATTTGCTAAGGGAAATTCCTTGTGGAGCCACCCCATGGGGTGATGCTGTTTCTAGAGGAAGAGGTTTTTTCCAAAAGAACAATTTAAAGAGGATTCCCTCTTCTTCAGCCACTAGTTATGGCTATCAATTTGACTGAGGCTGACTTAAATTTATCCTAAATATTATCTCTTCTTTTTCTTTTCTCTCTTGCTGCTGCTTTGCTTTTACCTGGTTTTAATTTTTGTAGGTTTTGTAGTGTAAAGTAGTTTTAGTGAAACACTCTTTTAAGTTAACGATCTCATTATTTTGCTAATGCATGGACTGCAATGTTGCTCCCCCTTTTTTTCTGCTCATGCTGGGTCTTTGAGTTAATAGGAAAGACACGACTTCCTTGGAAGCCACTTAGTTCATGGGAACACTGTTAAGTACGAAACCCCTTGTGGGCATAGAGTAAAAACATACCGTATGTGTGTATGCAGGTAGAAAAACGTGCAGTTGCCCATAGACACTGCTGCCTAGAGTAGAGCTTGTCACTCAGTTGGGTGGCACAGTATATAAAACTAATCTAAATTAAAAAAAACCAATAAACACATACTTCTGCTTCCCAGTCACTCTAAGGAGGTGTGTGTCTATTATATAGTCACATGTCTCTATACTGTATGTCTATTTTTTAATATATATTTTTCCACCCACATAAAGCTGGGCTGACGCGTAAAAGAAAAATGAAGCAGACCAGCTGCAAATTATGGTTATTAAATGAGTTAAAAGTTTACGTAATTAATTTAACAGTAATTAATTTCTCAGGCCCTATTCTAAGGGTTGGCCATTATTGCCCACAATCCCCCCTGTTCAAGAGCCTCCGCCATTTCCCCTCCCAAGTGCCTTTGCGCGGCTCCCTTCGGCAGGGCCAATGTCCCAGAGGGCATTGCGGCACGGAGTCTCCCCGCCCCTCGGTTCCCTTTCTTTGGAGGAGAATCCCCTGAGGGACGTGTGCCTTGACCAATCACCGCCTGGTTCTCAACAAGATGCATAGGCGGAGCTACTGACGGATGGAATCATTACGTGAAATGGCAGGGACAGGGCCCTTCTCCTCCTATCTTTTTAAACCAATTAAAAAGCGAGATATATACTTATGAAAGTCTCTGTAACAGATAAAGGACTCTCCTCTTATTGAGTGACAACAAGCCCTTCCAATAGGACCAAGGAGTGGTGAAAAATGTTATTGACGTAAATTTGGACCAAGAGGATAGGCCATATGCAGGGGAGCCCACCCACTCACCCCCTTAGCCCCGCCCCTCTCCACTAATGGGCGGTTCGTTTACGAGACCGGCTGCCTCAGCAAATGCTGTACACACCTGCTGCAGTTCCTATGTTTCCTCAGGCAGCCAGCCAATTAATTCAAAGTCCCGCCTTCTGGAAGGAACTAGCCAATTGAAACGCGGAGTTCGGAACCATGCTGACTGGCATCGACGGAAAGCCAATAAATACTAAATCCACAGAAGTGATAGCTACATTCACCAATGGGTGCCGGTTGGTGGGTGTCTCGGCGAGGAGATTGCTCCTAGCTCGCATGGCAGAGAGACGAAATAACACCCAATAGAGAGCGAAGGAGGTGGACCAAGGCTTTAAGCGGCAGGTCGCGTAGCCAATAGCCATGGGCGGAGACGTAGTGGGGCTCGGTCTCTCAATGCCAGCAGCCAATGAAGAGCGAGTCCCAGGGGGGCGGGTTATCTTGCTTGAGTGACAGGCACCTTGGTCCAACCGAGAGCGGACGGGCGGAGCTTAGTTATGATTGACCTTCCTTCCATCCAACGGAGCCTGAAAGAGTGACGCGGTCTCCCTCAGAGTGGCATGCGTCTGCGCCAATCGAGAGGCCCGTTCGGAGGGGTAGAAGCAGGAAGCGGCCGAGGAGGCGGAGGCCGCTCTGCAGTCAGTCCAGAGAGGGGCCTCGGGGGTTGTGCAGCCGCCGGGATCGCCCGCCCCCCACCCGCGAGCCGCCACCC